TATGTCCTCAGCCATGACCTCACACAGGAAGGACAGGGGTCGACCACACAGGAAGTGGAATCTGATCGAGATGCATTAGGCAGAGATGAAGTCATTACAACTGTAGCCAACTGTCACATGATCACATATATGCTTAAGAAAAAATACTGCAAAGAAAACACAAAACCATCATGGTCATTTATCGATAACAAAAACTGCTCGATGATTTTACAGCTTCTTGCTGTCTTGACTGTCATTTTCCCACACTCTACGTCAAATGCAACTTTTTGATTATTTAGTTCCTGATTTTTACCTGAACAGTTCTACTTCTTACTCTCATACAATACATAAGCATGAGCACATTTATTCTAACAAGTAAACCAGGCCTGAAAAGCTCCCACATGCAACATTTTTAGATAAAACAAACTCTGATTAAGACAACAATATTTAATATTCATGAAATTATAAATGAAATCAGCACTTAACCTAAACACATACACTGCTCGGTTCTTTATCTTTGCACCATTTCACACTGACAAGGTGCTCAGGGACCTATTGGAGGACAAGCTGCCTCCTCATTTCAGATAAAAGCCACACATCCCAGTCTCAGTATATCTAACCGTTTTCAGTCTGTGCCTAAAGCATCTGCTGGTATCACAGCTACTGGGTTGTTTCAGCCCAACCTGATAAATCTGCAGGATGACCGCCTCTGTGTTGTCTGACACAGGACACACACAGGTGGCGATGCAGCGCTTACACTGGCTTCCTCCTCCCTCACAGTGATAATGAAATGTGTGATTGGCTACTGGTTGAAAACCTCTTATCTCAAACGTGTCAGCTGCCAGGAATTAAAGAAATCCACCTCGGTTTCCAGACTGACAACAGTGACATCTGAAACCACAAAATGATAAAGTGTATAACCTGAATTCATGAGGATCACTCACAACACCTAACAACACATGGCCCTTTCTCCTGGACTCATTGTCTGAATCCTGCAGTGTGTTGAATTCTCTGTTATTCCTTTTGAACAATGAAATCTACAACAAAGAGTCACTCAAACATCCATAAAATTTAACTTCCACTTGCAGTGCCTTCTGTAGAGACATATGTGTATGTGTGGCCTTTTGTCATGGTAATAAAAAAGAAGCAATATAGTCACCCAGCACCCCCACCCAATCTGACCTGCTCCAGGCAGGCAGGAAGACATTAGCAATCCAATGCAGGATGACAGTTTTCTGCCTTTCACTCTCACCTGCTGGGCTGTGAGTTAAAAAGGCTTAGGTTGGATGTAAGCACCATAAAAAAGTCATTACTGCCTTTCACAGGATGCTGATGAGAGACCCAGCGTATGAGAGGGGTCAAGTGAAATGGGCTTTAAAGGTTGATGCTGACATTTACAGGCCAATAATGCTTTTATTAAATATTTTCTGCATTTGTTCGATTGCTTTCACTTGTCCTGTTTCATGCTTAAAGCTCTGTGTAGTATTTTTGCTTCTTTAGAATCAAAGAGCTTGAAAATCTTCCAAAATAACATTTACACAGCATAATTGAACAGCATAACTCTTTATATCTGGAAAACAAACAACTGTTAGTCAAATGATGTGTGTGTGTGTGTGTGTGTGTGTGTGTGTGTGTGTGTGTGTGTGTGTGTGTGTGTGTGTGTGTGTGTGTGTGCTTGCATATATAATCTCTACACTTTCATCACCATCAGTCATTGTCTCCCGTTTAAAGGTCATTTAATTAGCTTTGTATAATTAAATTGCTTCACACATGTTACTTGATACATATGTTTGTCAGTCATGCAATGGACTCAGACTCAATTTAAATTTTGAAACTGGAGAAAATGATAATCTCTGGGATTTATAGATTTTTATGAATGGAAGGAATTACATTAACAGAGCCTTGTGTTAGTAATGTATCTGTTACCATGATGATTTAATATCTAAACGAAGCTCTTTATTACCAGCCCCATAAAATGAGGGCCTGTCTTAATTGTAGTTCGTTGTTTGTTTCCACACTGTGTTTTGAAGTGATTGGGATTCAGCTCACAGGCTGAAATGAGCTTTTGTAATGAGTCTAATGAAGCCAGTCTTTACAGACAGTCTGCCTTATGCCTGCATCTGGAGAGATGCTTATTAAGATAGTAGCTCCTTATCACACTGGCACACAGACAAATCTCTCTGTGTGAGTGAGCGTGTGACTATGTGTGGTTGTGAGTATGTGTTTTTAATGCCTTATAAAAGGACTACGTATGCTGCACATTGTACCAAAATGTATTTTTCAGGATCTCCTGCGGCCAGTGTGACTTTCAAAAATTCTTGGTTTGAACCTTTACCCTTTGAAAGCTGTAGCTGAGAATTAATGAGCTGGCAATAATGAACAATTAGATTACAAAGAGGGAAAAGAGGGAATGGGGGTGGGGGGCAAAGAAGGTAGAGAGCGAAGGTGCTCAGGGTCAAAACTGAGGCATTTATAATGAAAAGAGAAGCAATGACAGATGCCTTCAATGACAGGAATAACCTACATTCACACCCACACGATTCATGGCGTCTGCGGATGGAAGAAGGCGCAGGAGAAAACTCAAACACCAGAGGGCAGTAGAGTATCTGTTCAAGGCAAGGCGCTCAGGAATAACAGTATGGGAAAAAGTTAAAGGTCACAACAGCTGAACAGCAGTCATTTCTTATGATGTCACACATTAGAGGGAAAGACAGTACACACACACACACACACACACACACACACACACACACACACACACACAGAAAACAGCTTCAAATACCATTCACACATTTCCAGACTATCACCTTCACATCAGATTCAGCAGATTGTGCCAGACTCCACTCACACACAGCACACACACAGACTAAGCACTATCCTTAGTACTATCCAGGACTATCCTCTTCTCTGCCTGTAAATACAGCCTGCCTGTCTCGCTCTGCCTCCTGCTGCACTATGGATTAACTCTTTGTTACAGGTGTACACAACATGTTTGTGTGTTTAGTGCCAACTGGGCCATCCAAGCTGGATGCATGGGAGGAGCACAGCCACGGACACACTCTGGTATCACTTTACTAATCCGTCAGATAACTACTGGCATACTCTGCTAGTACCCATTATGTTCAGGGCATGCTGTGTTTGGTGTTTGCCATTCAAACACATCTGGTTCTGCTTATGCTTTTTCCTATATTTCCAACCATTTATAAAAAGGATGGGGGAGGGGGGGGGGGTCAGCAATGATGTGATCTGTTATGGGAGGGGCTTTTTTCCTTGAAATTAGATTTGAATTTCAGGAGATCTTCATGCTCAAATAAAAAGAAGCAGCAGCAGTCATAGAGATGACAGAGACAGTACAAGCAAAAGGGCAAGTATTCATGGTTGAGAAATGACTCAAACTTCAACCCACCCTTATGACTAGTCTATTGACATCTTCTGTGGGCACTGAAATCTGCTCCTGACTCTCTAAAGATGATTTTTCACATATTTGTATTGATGAAATCTGGTGAAAAAAATGGACCCTCCAGAGAAAAAGCTCTTACCCCACCTCACAAGCATTAATTGCTATGAAAGCTGCTGCAAAGCTCTGGACATAGCATCTTTTAATTTATACATAACCAGAGGAAGAAAAATGAATGTCACCAAATGACAGTGGAGTGAATGTTAGGATGACTGGAATCCTTTGTGACTATTAGGCAAAAGACAAGTTCTCACTGTTGTGTCTGGTGAGGCAGCCATCACGTCTCCAGACAGCCTCGTCTCATCTCACCCTGCCATCAGAGGAGATTGAGTTCATGCTAAGGACCATTGGAGTCTGTGCAGGTACTCCACTGAGGCTTTGACCTGCATGTGGAAGACTCATCAAAAACCTCATCAGGAATTCTGCCTCGGAGCCCTCCGATCTGTTCAGTCATTTCCCTGGGTGAAGCCCAGCAGACACAAGGCTGAAATAAGGGCAATAAAGCTAATATATGAACAAACACTACTTTGCTGGACTAATAAGGGTATTCTACCAAACATGGCTTTAGATAGAAATCCCCCATCTCTCTGTCACCTACATACACATGGATTTGAAAGATTTCAGGATATGAGTGCAATAACATTGCTCCTGGTCATGGAGGTCAAGGGTTAACCCAGCTGAGAGTGAAGATGGCTGCATCATCAGCACCACGGGGATAAAGAGAGGAAGAGAAAGGAGGGCAGACAGGAGAGAGCAAAAAAGTCACAGAAAATAGGTCAGTCAGAAAACATGATTAGCCACTACACAAACGACACCAGCAGCAAACTCTCGTGCCATGTGCGAGAGAAGTGGTGTCCTGTATCAGTTCCTCACGCTGGATTCAGATTTCCCAAATAACTGCTAAAGCTTACTGAGCCCACACTGTACAGACAGACTGGCAAGCATGGACTTGCTGCCTCACCAATACACACAAACCCACACAGACACCTTCTTCCCCTCACTGCCTTACATGGTGCTGGAGCGATCCCTCTTGCCGTTGCAGCCCTTTGCGTTGCGTGGGGTTGCTAAGCGCAGCCAATATTTCACAAACACAGCAAAACAGCCACCCTGATATCCTGCTACACTGCCATCCTGGACAGCAGAGACACAGCCTGCTCCATGTCCTTCCAGGAACTCACTGAATCTGGCTCTGTGTTTCTGTTATGCTACACTGAGCCAAATAAAGTGATGATACAGAGTTTGTCGATTTACAGCTGACAAGTGAAGAACAGAATATCTTTCTATTATATTTCTTTTATAAATACTTTATTGTCCTCCATGGGTAAAAAAGGCCCTCAAACTGCTTATAAACTATAATTACTTGGGATTTTTTTTTTCTTTTAGAGTTTTAAATCAGTGAGTACTAATAAGAATTAATAATAAAAAAATATTCTACACAAATAATCAACCATGCATTCTCCTTGCAGCTCATCTCCATGTCATTGCTATAAAATTCATTATAAAGCAGTATTAGCAGAATAACACTTAGGATCTGGGTTTGGAGATGACTGTTTTACATCCTGACCTGAGTGTTTCTGCCAACCTCTGACTCTGCTGCGTTGTTTCTTGGGGGTCTTGAGCCCACCTGCTGGCCCAATGAGGGAATGTGCGTCTTGAGAGGTGCCGGAGGTAGAGCTAGAGGTGACGTCCTGCTGGGGGTCTGGGGGATAGGTAGGGCACTGTGCACAGGTTTGGGTTTGGGGAGTCCCGACTTCATATTTGAGGCCACTAGAATGGCTGGCATCTTTTCCCCAGCGACCAGATGACTGCAAGCTCCCCTCCCTGTCACACTGAGATGGAAATCCTGTCACCGGTAAGCAGGAATTCTCTGCAATCAAGCTACTTTTCTGTTTGTGAATGAGTTACCAGATTGGAGGAAAAAGAAAGAAAGGAAAAAAACACGGCACATATATTGAGGTTGCACCTGATCCAACGCCTGATTGAAGTGTGCAGTTTGTTCATGTCCCAGTCTTAGCTACTTCTACTGATTCGTAGCAGGAGGTGGGGGTTGACCTGAGCTCCCCAACATGCAGTGGAATGGTTTAAAACCCACAGAATCCCACCTGCATCCTGTTACTAAGTTGGATCAGCTTGTCATTTCATGCAAGAATAATTTGGCCTCAGAGTTTTTTGGTTTAAAAAAAAAAAAGTATCCTGATGAAAATTCACTCTGCAAAGTCCAAGAAAGAAGATCAAAAATCCCACTTCACACCAAAAGGAATCCCCAGTTGCCTCGTGGTAGAGTGAGTGTTCCCTTCCATTTATTTCCAGCAATGAGTGACAGTCAGCAAATGGCCAAGGATCCAATTGGAAGCAGAGCAGCTCCACTCCCACAGAGTCCTGGTAATTAATTACACCGTGGCTTCAGGAAGACAGCAAGAAACCCCTTTTTTGAGGAAGAGCAGAGAGAGAGTAGTAGAAACGAGGAGATGGAGAGGAAGGGGGGGAAGCAAAAGTCAGCAGCGACACAGCGACCACTCACTTCAGCGACTGCTCAGCCTGTGACTACACAGCCTGAAACACACTGCGCTTTCCTCTACTGCCTCTCTCTCTCTCCCTCACTGGTAAGTCCGTGGTTAGCAGCAGGTGTGGCTTAGATCAGGACTGACATATGTGAAAAGCTCAACATATCTACACAGTGGGTTCCTCTCACACAGCGAGTCTGCCTCTCACATAAAGACTCCACCACGATGCTATATGTTAACCACTGATACAAAATAATATTCATTAAAAATAATAATTTGCTAGTTCCACTTGCATTTTAATATGCGGGATAAGGATGCCCATGGTCTTAAAATGTGGCAAATCATCCTAGCCCACTCAACACGGGTTGCATAAAATCATGTGATTTTAATAGAAAACAACAATACTATTAACCTGCTTTGATGCTATTTCATGAAAAGTAGAATTTCCAGCAACAAATATTACATGGAGTTTTTTGCACACGTTTGTGTTCCACATGAATGTAAGCCTGCTTGTTCTGGTCATTTCAGGAGTTGTCATCCAAATTAATGGCTTTGGTGATGCAGATTCTATCTCCAGTGCCATCATCAGGTTGAATTTGTGATACTGAGTGAAATATCTTGACAACAAATCAATACACAGTCATTAATTTTGGTATAGACATTCCTATATAATGTTGTACTGATTAACAGACTCTCTTTTCTGTATTCTTTCCCTCTTCTGTCTGTTAAGCTTCCACTTTATAAATATGAGGATGGCCAATTAGTGGACTAGTGTCAGATCAGCCTAACTCCCAGCAGGCTTAGTCAAGCTGCTGAGATCCTGCTACAGTAGGGAGGGGAAAAAAGAGATTTACTCCAGAGAAGGATTTACGCCCCTCCCCAGTCACCCATAACTAGTTAATTTAAGAATGTACAGAGTAATCTGTATTTGAATCAAAAGTTGTATATAACTGTGTTCTCAACTATGTTTTGATGGAAAAATATTTTCTCTCCAACAAAAAACTAGCAGTGGCAAGATTTCCCTGACTACTGATGGCACCATCAGGAACCAGCCATCCTTTATGAACTGTTAATGTCTCCACATGATCCCATGGAAATCTTTTCAGCGGTTGTTCAACTATTTCTGACTAAAACAACAACAACAACAAAAGCCAAAAATCTTGCCCCAGGTCTACTCTACATCTTCCCAGGTCTTTTAGTTTGAAACCACTGTTTACTTTAAATAATAGTCTAATGCAGTAATTACTTACAATAAACAATCTAAATAAAAAATTGAAAAATAGACTGACCAACATTAGAAACATGTGAAAGTTTATGTCTCTAAACTGAGCGCACCTCTATTCCATTCGGATGTAAAAGGGTCAGACATTAACTATACACTCTCTCATTTCTAATAACTCTCAGAACAGTAACACCCCTGCCACACACACACACACACACTGGACTTTTGCAAGAGCATGATTTAATCCAAAGGAAGGGTGTGCTTAGTATGTTAATCTTAATCCTGTTACATTAATTCTAAATTATGCAAATACCAATATTATCTTATAAATTTGTGTCATGGTGGTGTACGTAGAGAGGGGTGGGGTTGTAGGTGAAATTATTATTTATTTTTTTATACCCCGTGAAACCTGAAACCCTGTACACTGTGTTTGTCTTGGATGTTTCTAACTGGCTTCAGTGAGTTTCACCCATTTGTATGTAGCCTTGCAATCTCTACCTGCAGGTCTCCCACCTTGTCAACTACAGCTGTAAGTGGTGGTGAGTGAAAATACAGAGGGCCTCCATGATTAAAAACAACCATATCCGGACATCACAGGACTTCTTTGAAACATAAAGGAAAATACATTTACCCCACCCTGCTTGTCTCACGTCATCCACTCAATTGGAAAAGAAGAAAAACATACAGCATGTAGAGTTAGAGGGGAAACTTCCATTATTTTCCTGCTATCCTCTGTGACACTAAACACGTTCCGGTCCCTCACATATCACACTGCAGCACTTCGCAGAGTAGAAAGAAAAAAGGAGTCATATTTGATTTATGCTACAATCTTTGAAGATACCTGATGACAGTCCAGTGGAGTCTAATAATAGAGCCCGTTTGGCAGTAAATGGGCGGTATTGACAGTAATAACTAGGACACCCACTGCATTGCTCTGCTGTGTGTTTATACAGTATTTCTTCTTAGAATAATAAACAGTTGTGTGGGGTAGATGGTGGGCGTTTGCTGAGAGCACAATGACTTGTTCACACTCAATGCACAGTGTTTTAAAGGAATTTAAAGGGTATACATTTAGTCAGGAAATGTTACCTTACCACATCCCAAAAAGCAGCACAGACATTTGAAATTGTGTCACAGGACAAATGATGCTAACCTCTGTCCTGGTAATCAGCAGGTAGATTGCAGCAAAAGCTGGCACACGCCCAACTTTATTGCTATGAACATGTATTTTTGTATCAAACCACTGTGTGCCAGAACATTCACTCTTATTTTAATGGTTTCACTGACATAGTTAACCCCTTAGCAGTCCAATTAGTCCCCTAAACCATCCAATGTACCGTGGGCGGTACGTCCGACTGCTAACAGGATAAGGAGGCAGCATTTTTTTTATATAACTGAGCTATTGTCTGTCTAAACAAAGCCTATTGTTACAAATAATGACCTCTTTCTCTGCAAATGTTGTGTTATTCCAGTAGTTGTGTTTATGCTCCAGTTGGAAAAAACGAGATTTAAAGTTGGCACTAGTGTTTTAGTTTATAGATGAATCAGTTAGTATCCAATGAATATTCTCTGTCAAGTTGACAAACACGTAATGAAATTCTAACTAGGGATGTCGCCACAACCGAAACAGTACCTTTCTATGCCAAAATTCTGAAAATGTGAAGGAACCTGTTTTTCAATACTGAAGGCAGCAGGCATACAGCTGCTCCACTCTTTAGTAGGGATGGGTACCGATATCCGGTGCCATTATGGCATAAACGGTTGTAACCACACCGAAAAGCAGCGCACATTTCGGTGCTTTATTTCGGTGCTTTATTTTTTCTTGAGATGTCATACATTTTGAATTCTAGCCAATCATTTTACCTTTCTAAGGATAGTAGGCGGGCCCAGGTACGTACGTTCTTTTAGAGCAGAGCTACAGATTAAAGACGCCCAAGGCGAAGTGGTCAAAAGTCTGGCTGTACTTCACAGCAGCCTGCAACAAGTGCTTTAAGGTGATATTGTGCAAAGCAGGTAACACCTCGAATCTGATCAAACACCTGGCGACGCATAGCGTGTTTTTAAAAGCCGAGATATGCACCGTATTTGTTAGCTTGCTGCAAGGCCTCACACTGAGCACATCTACTGCGGGTGTGGTGCCTTTTATCGGACCCGGAATTAGAAACATCCCCCAAGAACCCGAAGAGTGGAGTCCTGGCCCCTAGCCCTGCCAGTGTAGCAGAAATGATGACGGATGATGATGGCAGCAGCCGTTCTTCTCTGGGTCAGTAGCTTAATGTTGTTTGTGTGTAATTTACGTTGAGTAGGCTAACCACGTTATTAAATTAATGCACGTAAGATGAATTAGCAAACACCGTCGTAGTTACATGTAGGGGTGGGTTTTGCTTATCGATTTATTGATTAAAATTGATTCTAGCTTGGATAACGTGATATGGATTCATTAAAATCCAGAATAGATTTTTTAATATAAATTTATTTTGCCCGAAATGCCAGAATCTCAAGTTAAACCTCATAAAATTTCAACAACAACCAAAGAGCTAAAACAGGAAATGAGAGCAGGTACACGGATTCTGCACAAAGACATAAACGCAAAGCGTGGACCCGCCGACAGATCAGAATCAGTATGATGTCGCCTTTCTCACCCGACGGCACGGACACAGCTGAAAGCCGACAGCTCACTGATTCTGATCTGTCGGCGGGTCCGAGCTTTGTGTTTACGTCCTTTTTGCACTAGATTCTGAAGCTGCAGGTTTTATCTCTCTCCAAACAATATTGACTGAACCAGCAGCAAAAGAAGATCCAAACTACGCTTCACATGAACATCGTCATGAATTCCCTCTTACTTTTGCTGTTATGCTTCCCAGCAATAAAATCACACTTCATGCACAGCTCTATCTCTCTCTCTCTGTACTTCAAGAACAGTTTCCTGTCTAAAAATGTGTTTTCTACATTATTAACTTGCTTATTACGCACAAGTCTAGCGTTGTTTACAGCGCTGTCGGCCGCTGTTTTTTTTCCCTTTTACTTACTTCCGAAAAGAAAGCCTAATTTCTGCTGTTCAATAGGCTACTGAACAAATTTAAACTTTTTAAAATTATGCAAAATTGCAAAACGCTTAGCTGTGTCTCTAATAAAACCTCTGTAACTTTGCTCTGCTTCACTTCAGCAGCGTTTTTGATCTACTGCAGAATATTTTTTATAAAATCTCAGGCCAGGAAAATCACCTTCATGTTTTTCTGTGTTTTATCTTCAGCTACTTTGACACAAAGGCATCTGCTGTGATGCTTACACCTTTGATAAAGTCTCACAAGTGTCAACTTTCTTTTTATAGATATAAAAATATGGAAATGTACTGATACATGATCTGAATTATAATATTTCTGACTGTCTGAGGCAAAATTTCCCCGATTCAAATCGAATTGAATCGAATCGTGGATTGAATCGATTCGGGACCTTCTGAATTGAAATCGAATCGATTCTAGAAGTCAATGATGATACCCAGCCCTAGTTACATGCGGCTGTCTTCTTGTTTGATAGAGTGATACCATATGTGCCCTATAACTGCAAAAAAGGCTAACATTGTTATTGTTTTACAAAAAAACAGCTAAAC